ATTAATAATTATATCATTATGATACTTTGCTAAATAATAGATTTCTTTCCTTTCTTTTTAATAGATACACAATTTTACAAATACTTTCTAACAATGTTAAAATATGTACATGTAAACATATTTGATAATTTTGAATTTGCGATGACAATTAACCTGAGACACGAACAGCTCTTCGTGTGTATTTCTAGGGTTAATATGTTTCAATTACCATTTGATCTGATCACGATACTACTCGTTCTAGAGCCGATTTGTTCCGTATGTCCGTTCTGCAAATGAAACGTAAACGCAATTAACGTAGTGAAAACGTTTCGCTCAACTCCCGCGCGGTAAACTCACGCGCCAAAAGTGACGCAGCTTGGGAGTGACGTCACGATGCTGTGCATTTCGCTCTTGGCGTTGGGTTCACTAATTTTTCGCATTTCGAGCAACAGATAATATACGCTCGCCTTTATGATAATCGATACTCTGTTTTGTAATACAAGTTAAATACGCAAGACGAAATTGCAAGTAGATATCAGAAAATAGGTGTGACAATATCTGTCGCTTATTCGCGCGATAGATCCGTTGTCGAACAAGTAATGCGAAATATGCGTTCAAACAGATTCTCAGTGTATAACCGCGAAGTGCCTGTATTATGCGATAGTTACGTATTGCGATAAGCAATAAGTACAAGGTTAATATAGGTTTCAATTACCAATTTATCGTATTATAATGCCATTCGTTCCGGAGCCGATCCGTCCCGCGTTGCGCGTCCGCCGCATTCGGTGCATGAATATAGCTAAGACAGCGAAACGATTTCGTGTTTCTCGCGCGGCCAACTTCACGCGCCAAGAACGACGCGATGGCGCGCGATAATGCACGTATTTTAACTTCGCGTTCATGCATTTTCTGCATTTTAAGCAACAGATAATATACACGCTTACCTTTTACAGTGATATTTTCGTTAGTATTACACGGATTATACCAATATATGTATAATCTGAAAACAACACACATTTCAACAATTACCATGACAGTTCCAATAATATTTTTCACAGTTCTACAGTTTCTTATATAAAATAAAAGAATATTGTATTTTTTAAAAATTAAAATTGAAAATATGACGTGTTGTGAAAACTTCGCGAATAGTACTTTCTCTCTAAAGTATAAGAAAAAAAAAATTTTCACTTTTAGCTACAATTAATTATTTTTCATTGCAATACAAATAAATTTACAAGATAAAATTATAAACAGATATTTGAAAATATAATTAGTCTCTTGTTCGCGATGGTCTTCGCTCGAACAAGTTTTGATTGAGAAATATTTGAATAGATTATTATATATGAGTACGGAATTGACTATTATATTACATTATAAGTACATAATAGATAAATATTCGTACAAATGATAAATGCAATTTAATGTAAATTTTATTTACCATTTAAACCCGTCATTTGTTCCGGAATTGATCCATTCTTTTCAAAAATGTTGATAACAAAAGCTTAATGTTAATCATGTAAACGATTAATAAAAATATATATTTGATCAAAAATATAATTACAATTCAATATCATATATATAATAGGCATCGAATTTACAATTGTAAAATAGATTATAGAAAATTGTATTAATTATAAATAATCGGTATAATATTTAATTTGCTTGAACTGGAAATTATATAAATTTACAAGAAATGCATTAAGATTAGGCATAAGATTCACTATGACCCTATATGACGTTTACTCATTCATGTATTTACATTTCAAACTTAATTTTAATTTTTTTAAAAACTACAAATTAAGAAACTACACGAAAATTAAAAGATTATTTAAGTTTTTTATTTTCACTTTTATTGCTTTGAATGTTAATCGCTTGAATTCATTTGAGAATGCAATAGGAATTCTAGAACTCTTCGTGAAACAGCTAGAACTTTTGCAAATTGCACATATTTGGTTTTACATCCGAATTTTTTAAATTAAAGTGGGAAAATTAATCGTATGCCAAGAATTATTTTCGTAATCTAAATTTTGTTTTAATTGAATTGAATGAATATATTAATTATAAAATAATAGAAAATAGATACATATATATCGATATTTTAGTGAAAAAAACTTTATTATTATTGATTATTCTAGATTGCGGCTGCTTTTAATATTTTTCCAACATCTTTTTTATTCACAGCTTTTATCTTTACAGGTTACTTTGAAATGTATTTATCAAATACGTTTCAAGATTAGATAAATTAAAACTACAATACAAAAAATAATGATTTTAATATAAAATTTTATGTGTTGCGAGAATTCTATGTCTTTCTTCAGAGTTCTTATTTCAAAATCTTATATGGAATATCTGATCGATAACTTTATTTAGGTCATGTCAAACTGTAATTTCAAACTATGCTTGTCAGAAATATATAAGCCATGTACCAAAAGAAATCTGAGAGAGCTTTAATAAATGTAAATACCAATAACTTTTATATAGTTGCCAGCTCATTTCTGCTGTCAGCTAACAAGCTGTCGTTGCTTTATGTCATCCTGCTTTCACGGAAGGGCTGTGACCGACATAGTCGATACAGAAAATCGTAATTTGGCCGGAGAACTCAAATAATCGGTACAAGACACACGATCGAGAATCCTGGAAATTTCTATCCGGGGATGGTGACTCTTCTCTCGGGAAATAACCGAAGAAAATCGGGAAAGAGCGCATGGTTCGAGGGAGGAAGGAGAAGAGAAGGGAGCGGCATCGGGGAAGAGAAACAAGGCACTCTCCCTTGGTGAAAAAAAAGAAGTCTCTAAGACTGGAGCACGCTTTCTTTCAGGTATATCGATTATGGAAATTGTGCTTGTTCCTGCTTCTTCAAGTTGTGAAAAATACCTCGAATACACGTCGACTCGACCATGAAGCCAATTCGGGAAGCAGTTGAATACAGACGACGAGGCTTGACAAGGATAAGCTGAATTCGATGCGAAATGACCTCTCACTGTCACTCCGATCCGTAACGAGGAATTCCTGATGAAAGAGAACAAAGACACTGGGACAATCTCTGAGGTATTGCACAAGAGATCACTGCAAATCATTGAACCGAACTGTGACGACATTGTATTAAATCGCAAATCATCTTTTTACTTCTTCAATCAAGATTCTTTAAAAGCGCAAATTATAAATTAATGCTTATTTTATTCAGATTACATGTCAAAAAGAAATAATGCGACAAGAAAATCGATATTACTATCATTTTTTGAATTACATTTTTTGTGTTCACGATTCTTATAAAATAAAAATAAACTGGACCTCGGATTTCTTAAAAATCTTTTATAAATTGTTATGTTTATAAAAATTCTTGTTATTATTACTAAAAATATTGTTAAGAAATTATTTTTAACGATCTGCATTAGTAATATTGTTAAATAGTAATATTTAAAATATATATGACAAATGTAATCGATTGTGAAACATATAATTAATTTACTTTAAAATAATTTAGATAAAGTTTTCTTTTCTTCAATGATACAATATTTATTGCATCTCATGAAATATAAAATTAATCATTATAATATGAATAATTAAACTATAAAAAATTAAAATAAAATTGACGCATTAAATAATTGACGCATTGAATAAAGTATAAGAGTACAAAGTGTAAAAGATGGTACAACTTGTATTAAATTCGAAAATAATTTTTCTTGTAGTCAAAGTCAGTCTATTAGTGTGTCTCACTTTTTACTTGATCAGTCCAGTCAATAATAACATAAAAAAAATAATTAGTGCATTACAAATATTTATAAAATAAATGTTATAAATATTTATAAAATAAATGTACATCGAATTTTCTTTTCTCGCTGTATCACGAATTAATTCTAACAAACGGGACATTATCATTTACTTTGCGCTTAGTTTTGTGGATTCAGCGTAGTCCTTTAAATGCATAATGCGATTTCCTGAAGCATAACGCGAAAACGAAGACAGGTTTTATTTATCCTCACATTATCACGTGAATAACATTCTCACTTTTGATTTGGCTGGAATTTTAATTACGCAACAATTCGTTCTCACGTATACTAATTATATGATCTCATAACCGGCATTTTCGTAGCCCACAAATCCCACAACTCAGCCACACTCGCCATCCTGTGTTCACTTCAAAGTTTAATTCGTCGAGCTATCGAGATATTACGGTAATACTGCCTTAGATCTTCGACGGACTCAAAGTATCGAATCTTAATATAGCCGTAATATTCGAGAGGTTCTTGGAGTCGAGGGGAAAGATCGATTCGGGAATCCGTGGAATTTCGCGGACCGCGTGTATAATATATTATTACAGGAGAGATATTGTCGGTCAACGGCCGAGGAGAAACCTACCGCTGCAGTTTAATCTGAGTGCACCTCCTTCGTCTCGCGAATTGTGAACCGGCGTGAGATTGTGTATACGGCATTTCATATTACATGTTTACTCGCGTCAACAGTATGGTGCAAGAGAGGAAAAGAGAGGGATTGTTTAATCAAATTAAGCTGGTTTACCCTGTGCACATACATCGTTCCCACGATTCTCCTTCCAGAAACAAAGCCATGAGAGCTCTTCGACGAATTTTACGTCAACACCAGTTTATTAGCAAATTGGTGTTTCTCTTACTTAATTGAGATAACAGCCTCTGTCGCTTTTAAATGTATAAATGATTCGAACTATCTTCAATGTAAATTCGATACGTTTCTACATTCTGATGCAATTT